AGAGAGAGAGAGAGAGAGAGAGAGAGAGAGAGAGAGAGAGAGAGAGAGAGAGAAGGTGGGGGGAGGGAAGCAGCACCAGGATATTGCTGGTGGCTAGAGAGAGAAAGAGAGAGAGAGAGAGAGAAGGTGCGGGGAGGGGAGCAGTTCTTGTATGCGGAGGAGCACCAGGATATTGCTGGTGGCTGTCCATCTGTGGAGTGGAGATGCGTACGAGTCGGTACGAGCTAGGCCCATTGGTTGACATTGATGGGCATTTTCCTATTTATTTATTTATTTATTTACTAGGCTACCAGATTGGCCCGGGACAACTTGCCCGGCCAGGCAAAAAAAAAGAGAAAAAACGAGTGTTTATTCTTGACTAATTTTTTTTTGTGTTTATTAACTTTATTAAAGTTTAATTGAATTTTAAATTTGGAAAGTTAATTTGAATTTTGAATTTGGTAAAGAATTTTCGATGTAACCCTGAGGCAAAAGTTGTTCAGTTTATTTTTCTACAATAATAGTTTTTTTTTCGGATTTTTTAAATTATATATGCATATATTAATATATAGGGTTCAGCCTCCTGATGAGTCGGTGAAACTCCGACGAAACAGTTTGTCACAGCCCCTCGTTTGTTGTCCTCTTCTCTCTCTCTGCCTACGGTTTACTGGGCAGTTCTGTTTGTGACGATATATATATATATATTTTTGTATTTTTGCGTGAGCCTTCCATGGTCCTTGCAAGGCCGGGCCACCTGGGAAAATAAGGTGACCTGGCGGCCCGGCTGTTAGCCTACTTTATGTATTTATTTATTTTAGCCTACTTTATGTATTTATTTATTTTATTGATTTATTTGAATTTTTTTTTTTTAATCTCCTGACCGCCACTTCCTTTAACCTCGCGACTTTGTTTTTTTTTTATAATGACTGCTGTTGTGTTTTCTGTATATATACACGTGGCAATCCTTGCAGGGTTACGTGGCAGTGGTCAGAAAGGACGATATCCTCGTTCACGTCCCCCAAGAGCTGCAGTCGAATCATAGAGACAATGAGAGTCTGTATGACGTCCGATTTTTTCTGGGAAGAGTTATGGAAAAGCGGAAGCATCATGCTCTTCATCTCCTCGAATCTCAAGTGGAGTGGCTGTTCCCATCGCCTCTGGGGATGGGAGAGGTCTCTAGGATCCTCCTGTCTGTGAGTCCGAAAGTGCTCAAGAGTGCTGTGGAAGATTCGTCGAATGTGGGCCCTTTACTGAACGAGGAGCAGGGGAAGGCGTTCCAGGACATCATCCGATTGACGGAGTTGTCGATCGGAGGAGGAGGAAAAGCGAAGTCCAAAGGAAGAGCAGTACCGCCTCCTTACATACTCCATGGTCCGCCTGGGACGGGGAAGACGACGACCATCGTGAAGGCTATCTGTTACATTTACAAGCGGTATCCGTCGTCTCGGATCCTTGCTTGCGCTGCCACGAACAGCGCGGCGGACTCGTTGTTGCTCGGTCTGGTCGGGTGTGGCATTACCAGCATCTTGCGTCTGAACGCCCACACTCGTCCGCTCGACGGTTTGAACCCTGTGCCGGAGGAGGTGATGAGGTACTCCAACCGACACTCGGGAGGCGGATTCCAAACCCCGACTCGTGAGGAGTTCTTGGGGCACAGGGTGGTGGTGTCGACCAGTTGTTCCGCGAGTGGCGTTTGGCAAGCGGGCATGGAGGCGGAGCTGTACAGCCACGTCTTTGTCGACGAGGCGAGCAGCATGGTCGAGCCCGAGTGCTTGATCCCCATTGCCTGCTGTCTTCACCCACAGTCGGTTGTCGTGCTCGCGGGAGACCCGCAGCAGCTGGGGCCTGTCGTGCACTGTCTTCTGTGCAAAGGAATGGATGGAAGTGGTCGGGGGGGTGGACTGGAAATGTCGCTGCTCGAACGGCTGATGACGTCGGAGCCGTCGAAATCTATCTACATGAATGGGCTTGCACAAGACGGTGGTTGCGGTCCAGTTCCGCGGTTCTTTGCTACGAAGCTCGTCAGGAACTACAGGTCGCATCGCGCGATCCTCGAGCTCCCCTCCCGGTTGTTCTACAACAACGAGCTCGTGGCCGAGTCGAACGTGCAGCTGACCTCCTCGCTTTGTCGTTGGGCCGAGCTTCCCAACAAGAACGAGTTTCCAATCCTCTTCCATGCCGTGGACGGGACCGCCATGCGAGACGAAGGCAGCCCTTCCTTCTTTAATGCCGAGGAGTGCGCTCAAGTGGTCCGTTACGTGGAGAAGTTGCTCGCCGACCAGACGCTGGGGCTTCGGTCTGCCGAGATTGGGGTTGTTGCTCCCTATCGCAGGCAAGTGCAGAAGCTGCAGCATCACCTCCACAACAAGTTGCAGTTTGACGATATCAAAGTTGGGTCGGTCGAAGAGTTTCAAGGCCAGGAACGGAGGGTGATAATCCTTACGACGGTCCGATCCGACCCCGCATTCGTCCAAGACGAGTACACGCAGAACATCGGATTTATCAAGAACCCCAAGCGCCTCAATGTGGCCATTACGAGGGCGATGCACCTTCTGATAATCGTGGGAAATCCGAAAGCCCTGAAGCCGGTATGTTCCCCGACTCCCACTTTGCTTGCGCTCTTAGCCTCTTGCTCTCTCCGTCTTGCTCCCCGCCATTCCCCCCTGCCCCTGTGTCTTCTCTGTGCTCCGTTGTTTGTTCCCCCTTTCGCTCCACTGAGCAAGATAGAGGGGCTATAAGGGAACTGACCAGATTAAGGCATAGAGAAGTGGAAACGTCATCTGGTACAGCCTTGCCCTCGCACCACAGCTGTGGTGCCTACCTACCCTGTGGGCTGGGGAGGGATCCGGGTTGGTTGGTGTTCCCCCACACTATATATAGAATAGTGAGAGGATGAGATACATGCGTACTATCAAGAAAAATGAGATAGATGAGAGAAGAATATAGCTTACCTTTAATGAAAAAAAAAAAAAAAAAAAAAGCCTTGCTGCTGCCTGATTCTGTTGGAGTTAGACTTAGTGAATAATATCTTCTGGTGCAGGTGGTTTGGATTTTGACACCACCATCTCCACTGAAAACAGCGCGCTGTCACAGAGGCCGCGTTGGCAGAGATGTCGCAACGGCCTGTGTATTATTGCTGGATCCAGATTGAAAAGTTGCCCCCCCAAGTACAGCTAGAATGACCGGGAGCTCTACGAAGGCCACCGCTTCGGTCTTGCGCTTTTGTCTTTGGAAATGTCTTTTTTTTGCTAATTGAAAATGTTTCAACGTGTTCTGCCCGTTGTGGATTTTTTTGTTCTGCCGTTTTGCTCCGTATCCTGTGTCATCTTGCGAACTTCTGAAGTCTACATTCATGTCTTCTTTGCAGCTAGTTGAAAAGAAGGGCTGTGTGTGTCTGTGTGCGTGTGTGGAGAGAGAGAGAGAGAGAGAGAGAGAGAGAGAGAGAGAGAGGGAGAGAGGGAGAGAGAGAGGGGGGAGAGAGAGAGAGAGAGAGAGAGAGAGAGAGAGAGAGAGAGAGAGAGAGAGAGAGAGAGAGAGAGAGAGAGAATGTTAGCCATGTATTTGCACGAAGTTGTGCTGATGGTTTTCGTCTTTGGAACATGGATGTGCGTTTTGCAGGATGCGAATTGGCGGAAGTTATTGGAGTACTGTGTCGACAATCATGCCTATGTTGGATGCCCTCTGGCGGAGCAGCAGCTGTGATGTACACAACTATTTCGTGTGACCAAAGGCTTTTCCATGCCTGCGGGCTGTATACTTAACGAGTTCACTTAACGAGTTCTGTACACTATGAGTAGTTGGTGCCTGTGTCGTTCGTCGGACGAGGGCCGGTGTGAAGTAAATGTAGGTCACGTGTTGGTTGTTATCTATCATGCCTGTCTTCAAATAATGTTGGGTATCCTCTGTTACATCGGAAGGGCAGTGCTGGTCGATTTCGATGGAGTTTTGCTGTGGAGGACTGCAATTGCCGAAGCTTTGCGAAATTGTTTCGCATGGTTCACAGTTTTCATAACCATGGTTATGGGTCTTATGACCGGTCAGTAATGACTCTTGTTTGCCCGCGCGTGTCGTCCTTTTTGTACAGGGGTTATTCCGTTCCGAGCGGGGATGCCATTCTGTTTTCTGTTGCCTCCTATTATTGTGACAGTCTTTTTGAAAGACATGTGGGACTGTATTCAAGTCCTGTGTATTTTTTATCATATCATGATAATGGTGGTGTTGTGGTGATGCGGAGAGCGAGGTTGACGACGAGGAGGTTGATGGAGAATGAAGCAGGAGTTGGAAATTGAGCAGGAGGAGGAGGGCGAGGAGGAGGTAGGAGGTTGAAGAGGAGGAGGAGGAGGAGGAGGATAAGAAGGTTGAAGGAGGTTGAAAAGGAGGTAGAGGGGGATGAGCAGATAGAGGAGGAGGAGGAGGAGGAGGAGGAGGAGGAGGAGGAGAATGAGGTGTATCGGAGGATGTTTTTCTTTTCTTTTTAGTGCGTACGATTAATGCACGTGGAATCCGCGGCTATGCGAAAAATGCCCACGTACTATGTGAAACACCTGGCAAGGTATTCGTCCAGTGGACCGAACACAGACGGCCAGCTGTTTGTTCTTTGTCGGCGTGCGTTGGAATTCTGCATGAGACTGAGATGCGACTGGCTCGGTCTACATACAGGATGGGAGTGGCTGGCAGCGCCAGGCCCAAAAAAAAAACAAAAAAAAAAAACACTCCGGACGTTCAGGCGCCTGTTTGTTCTTTGTCGCCGTGCATCACAATTCGCATTTTCACGAAAAAGTACTCTTATCTCCGACGTGCTGATGGTTGAAACTTGAAACGCTCGCGACCGAACAATGACTAGGACCTGAAATTGGGAAAGCACAAAATGGTTCGTGCCTGTCGTACTCTCGCGATATGGTTTGGGGCATTTGCATCGTCCGAAGGCGATGGTGGATGAAACACTCTGCCTGCAGTGGCCTTCCGGAGGGGATCGCCTTGTTTCCGGACGTCCAGCCAGCCAGGTAGGTTGGATGATGACCCTGCCCTTTCGAAGTCCGGATTCACGAGCGTATTGTTTGTTGGGTAGAGGGAAGGGCCGCTTGGTTTATCGAGAAGTTTATTTTTGTTTGTGTGTTTGTTTATTAGTTTTTTTGTTTGTTTTTTTGTTATTTGTTTGTTATGTTTTAAGAATTTCTAGTTCTATTTGGGATTGAGGAGAAAGATCTACACGTTGCAGACCCCCTCTTTTTTTCTTTATGGCAAGGGTTGCTTGGTTTATCGAGAATTTTATTTTTGTTCGTGTGTTTGTTTGTTTGCTTGTTTGTTTGTTATTTGTTTGTTATTTTTTTAAAGAATTTCTAGTTTTGTTTGGGATTGATGAGAAAGATTTACACGTCGCGGAGCCCCATTTTTTTTTGTTTTTTTTTGTTCTTTATCATGTGGGGAATGGCAGCAAAGAGGAGTTGACATGTGGCGACGAGACATTGTCTGAGTTGGTGTGCCATTTGCGATCCACTTTTGTGTGTGAGAGTAATTTTCTGTTTGCCGATATCCGCGTTTGATTCAGTTGTGTTATGTGTGTCATGCTTGTGTCCTTTGGGACATCCGTTAAAATTGGAATGAAACAGAGAAGGAAGATTAGCATGGCCCCTGCGCAAGGATGACACACACAAATCGAGAAATGGTCCACGTTTGTTCAGTAAAAATAAAAATGTGTGTCATGCTTGTACAGGGGCCATGCTAATCTCTCTCCTCTGCGTCCCCCAACTCTCGTTCCAATTTTAATGTATTATGTCCCTAAGGATGTCTATAGCATGTTCTTTTTGGCCGATTGGACGGATTCTGTATCTTCTCCTGCTCTCAAGATTTTTTATGTGCAACAAAACGTTTTTAGAATACCAGTTCACAGGAGAGCCTAAGTGGATGAAGCTGTCTTCCAAGGCGCGTGACCCTCCAACCGGGTCATCTTCTTCTTCTTCTTCTTCTTCTTTTTTTTTCTTTTCTTTTTTTTGTTCTTTTTTTTTTTTTCCTTCTGCTTCTTCTTCTTCTTCTTCTTCCTCCTCCTTCCTCTTCTTCTTCTTCTTTTTT